TGTAAGCATGGTCAAGATCAAAAACACTGATGACAACTTATGCTGGAGAGGTTGTAGGGGAAAGGGAACACTTCTGCATTACTGGTGGGAATGCAAGCTGGTAAAACCTTTGGATGTCAGTGTGGCGATTTCTCAGAAAATTAGGAAACAACCTTCCTCAAGACCCAGTAATACCACTTTTGGGTATATATGCAAAGGATGCTCAGTTGTGCCACAAGGACATGTGCTCAACTATGTTCATAGCAGCTTTGTTTGTCATAGCCAGAACCTGGAAACAACCTAAATACCCCTTGATCGAAAAATAGATAAGAAAAATGTGGTACATTTACACAATGGAGTACTACACAGCAGAAAAAATAACGGCAGCTTGAATTTTGCAGGAAAATGGATGGAGCTAGAAAACATTATTTTGAGTGAGGTAACCCAGACACAGAAAGACAATTATCACATATACTCACTCATAGGTGGTTTTTAAGCATAAAGCAAAGAAAGCCAGCCTACAAACCACAATCCCAGAGAACTTAGACAACAATGCGGACACTAAGAAAGACAGACATAGACTTAATTTACGTGGGAAGTAGAAAGTATAAAAAGACAAGATCTCCTGAGTAAATTGGGAGCATGGGGTACCTTGGGGGAGAACTGAAGGGGGGGAGGAAAGGCAGGGAGGGGAGCAGAGAAAAATGTAGAGCTCAATAAATTTCAATTAAAAAAATCTTAGAGGGCTGGAGAGATGACTCAGTGGTTAAGAGCATTGCCTGCTCTTCCAAAGGTCCTGAGTTCAATTCCCAGCAACCACATGGTGGCTCACAACCATCTGTAATGAGCTCTGGTGCCCTCTTCTGGCCTGCAGGCATACACATAGAAAGAATATTGTATACATAATAAATAAATAAAATAATAAAAAAGAAAAATTTTTAAAAATTGTAGAAATAAGTACCAAAACAGCAAACAAGCAAACAAAAAGATTCAAAGATGAATAGCTACAAGCAGGGCAGGCTAAGTAAAGCGCACAGTGTATGGTGGCTAAGGCTCATGCAACTGAAAACTGGCACACCAGGACATCGTGTGACTGCTCACTCACGAGGAAACAAGACCACTCAGCATAGCTGACCAAGGTGACCCTCATGTCATTAGCCTTGCATAACTGCCTGCTTCCATCAGGAATCTGATATGATACACAGAAACCCTTACGTAAGAAAAGGGGGGGGGCTTTCATAGTCACCAAAAACGGGCAAATCAATCCACTCGCTAGATAACGCTGGTGGAACATCAGCTCTGCCCGCCTCTCCTATAGTGCTCAGATGTTGTCTCCAGTGTTTGTTTTTTTTTTAAACCAAAGAGCCTTTATTCTTTTTTCAACCTTTTTAAAAAAAGATTTATTTATTTATTACGTGTACAACATTCTGCCTCCACGTATACCCACACGCCAGAAGAGGGTGCCAAATCTCATTACAGATGGGTGTGAGCCACCATGTGGTTGCTGGGAATTGAACTCAGGAAAAACAGCCATAATTCTTAACCAATGAGCCATCTCTCCAGCCTTTTTTTTTTTTTGGAGACAGAGTTTCTCTGTAGTTTTTTTAGCCTATCCTGGAACTAGCTCTGGTAGACCAGGCTGGCTTCGAACTCACAGAGATCTGCCTCCCAAGTGCTGGGATTAAGGGTGTGCGCCAGTACCGCCCAGCTGTCTCCTGTGTTCTTAAACACTTTGCTTTTCTGAGACAAGGTGTCACTATGTAGCCTTGGCTGGCCTGGAACTCACTATATAGACCAAACAGGCTTCAAAACCACAGAGATCTCCTGAATGCTGAGATTAAAGGTATGAGACACCCTGCCTGGCATTAGTGTTCTTAACTTCAAGGCTGTGGATGCCAGAGGTCAGCTATGTGTAACCTGAGAGATTTACCAACTCAACAGGTGATGTGGGAGTGTCATATATCAATCTGTTGATTTCATTGGTTAAGCAATAAAGAAACTGCTTGGCCCTCATAGGTTAAAACATAGGTGGGAGGAGTAAACAGAACAGAATGCTGGGAGGAAGAGGAAGTGAGCTCAGACTCGACAGCTCTCCTCAGAGAGAGACGCCATGCCCCGCTCCTGGGCAGACACACGTGATGAAGCTCCGACCCAGGATGGACGTAGGCTAGAATCTTTCCCGGTAAGACTGGGGCTACACAGATTATTAGAGATGGGTTGATCAGGATATCAGAATTAGCCAGTAAGGGCTAGAGCTAAAGGGCCAAGCAGTGTTTAAATGAATACAATTTGTGTGTTGTTATTTCGGGGCATAAGCTAGCCAGGCTGCCGGGGTGCTGGGGACGCAGCCCCGCCGCTCATAATACAACAAACAGGAATGTAGTCATAGACAAAGTCAAGATAAATCCAAGTCCCTAGGATAGACCACGATCTTCCTTGGCTTCCAACTTACAACATTCCGTCTATCCACAGTCACCATGCTCCACACAGCCAAGATAAAAAAAAAAAAAATAATGACGTAGCTCAGTTGGTAGAGTGATTGTCTAGCATGCACAAAGCCCTGGGTTTGATCCCTAGCACCACATACAACCAGTTGCAGCTATACAGGCCTGCAATTCCTGCACTTACGAGTTGGAGGCCTGTTGTGGAATTCAGCATTGGGGCAGCTAGGTCAAAGGGTGTGGTCTTTTCTGGGAATTTGTGATTGAATAAAAATGGAGGGTGAGGGTCTCAAGCTCCTTCTGTATTGTGTGTGAGTGGACTTTTTATTTTGCACCTGTTTGATAAATCCGACTTAACCACAGAGATCACTCCCACATCATAGAGCCACCCTTCCCTGGTAGGGTCAGAAGTTCAAGGTCATCTGTGACGAGTGAGTTTAAGAGCTAAGGAGACCCTGTCTTAGAAAAAGAAATAACAAAAAAAGTTTATCTCCCCCACCCAATATTCTAACTTCCTGAGGAAATACATGCCTCCATCCCTCTGAAGAGCATCATAGAAAATGGAACCCATCTTTCATGAGGCTTCCTCTGGGCATATGAGTGATACTCATTTTTTTTAATTATAAAATCATATCATACCTGGGTACACTTGTCTCAACTGCACCCTCATCCCCAACCTAAGTTCTGCACTCCCGTGGGTTCCTCCAGCTCTCCCAATCACAACTCGCCAGCACATCCGTCTATCCATCTTATTGGCTCATGGAACCCCCGGAAGAAAAAAAAACCTGTCCGCATCATATAGGCAAAAGAAGCATAAAATAAACTTGACCTTGGTTCTTGGATTTCCAGGTCCTTTGTATCCCCACTGTTCTAGGAGGGTGGGACTGACAGGAAGCCCTCCCCCTTCCACTCAGCCCAGTATAGCCACTCTGGGTCTGGAGGAGAGCCTGAACAGGGTCTATTCCTCTCTGAGTTAAGCATGGCTGGCCTGGCCAGGAGTGACAAGGCCTCGGTGGGTGTGGCCTTGGCATCCAGGGCAGACCAGCCCCACCCTTGTCACCAGGCCACAGTGCCCTTTGCTTACCAGTGGCTATGGTGAGAGCGGATCACAATGAATCCGCAAAGACTTGCAGGCTCCTGGGAGGGGCTACCAGAGTCAGCAGGTGGAAAGATGGGCTCCCCAGCAAATAGCCCACCTGTTGGGGGGCTCTAAATGCACAGGACCTTCCAGGGCCTCGCCTAACAGACCCCACACGGTGAGTGAGACATCACCCAGGAACCAGTTTAGAGCAGATGACAATCTGAGGGTAGGGTATGTTTGGGGAAGGATCAGGCCTCGAGGCTGCCCCATCTCCACCCCCAGTGTCAGAGCCGAAGGGGGCCTGGGGCTCTCCTCCCTAACTGGGAGTTTGCTGTGGAAGCGGCTTGATGATGAAGCTCTTGTCCTACAGCAGGTCTTGCCAGGCTCTCGGTCTCATCCCCAACATTGGGGAGGGGGCAATATGAATGGTCTTGGCTCCTCCTCAGGCCCAGTCAGAATCTCGGCCAGGAGGCGGGAGAAAGTCGTATGTATTTGCAGCTTGCTCCAATTCTGAGAGCAGGCTGCCAGATCCCCAACTTATTCTACAACCAGTAGGAGGTCCGGCTTCCCACACGTGTCTCCTCTATGGTCTTCAGTCACCTGCGACCTGCGGGTGGTAGTCCAGGATTGTAATCCCAGAATCTGGGAGACAGAGGCAGAAGGATGAGTCTAGACCAGCTTGTGCCATACAGGGAGACCCTTCCTCAAAATGGAGAGGTAGGTGCAGGCTTTACCTGCGCTCTAGTCCCGAGAGCTGACTGGGGACATTCTCTGGCTGCCCAGATCCCAAGGCTTATAAGGAGCAGAACAAAAACAAACCTCAAGTCATGATAATGTTTTTGAGACAGGGTCTCACTTGGCCCAGGCTGACCTTGAAGTTGGTATGAAGCCAAGGACAACCTTGAGTTTATTTATTTATTTTTTTGTTAATTTTGAGATAGATTCTTATCTCGCTGGTCTGGAAATTGTATGTAGACCAGGTTAGCCACAAACTCAGAGATCCACCTGACTCTGCCTCCCGAGTGCTGGGATTAAAGGTGTGCGCCATCACTGCCCAGCAATAGCCTTAAATTTAAGAAAGAAATTAAATTTTATGTGTACGAGTGTTTTGCCTACATGGCTGTGCACCACGTGTGTGCTTGGTTCCCTCAGAGACTAGAAGAGGGTGGTGGATCCCCTGGGACTGGAGGTTGAAAACTCCTGAAGGTTTTGGGAATCAAACCCCACTCCTCTCACTGATCTATGTCTCCAGACTCTGTCTACCCAAATTCTGGGATCACAGGCATGGGCCTCCATGCTGTTTCTCGCACTTTCTAGGCAAGCCCTCTCCCAACTGTGCTAAGTGATAAGAAAGGCGGTCCTCGGCCAGCAGGTGCCCGGGCTGCCGCACTGTGCCAGGCACCCGGCGTGTACTAGCTCACGTCAACGTCACAGCCACCCCTAAAGGGCAGGCGTCCCCGCCGTTGTCGTCTTTGCGCGCAGACACAGCAGGGCAAGAACACAACTGGGCGCGAACACAGCAGGGGAGGGTCCTGCCCGAGCCGGCTCCAGCTGCCCCTACCTGGCGCTATGGCCTGCGGGCTGGCGCGCGACCTCCCCGCGGTCCCGCTCGCCCCCGCGCGTCCCCCAGGCTCAAAGATGTCCTGAGCTGAGCTCGGACTCACGATGTTCTGGCGCCGGCCTGCAGCGGGGACCCCGGCTTATGAGCCCAAGAGGTATTCCGAAGGGGCCGCCCCACGCCGCTCCACTCCTCTGCTGCCCAGGCTGCCCACGCCCGACGTCTGTACCGGGCGAGGCTCAGCCGGCGCGTGGTGGCAGGACAGCGGGCATCTGCCCTACCTGTCCCCTGGGGTCCCGTACGGGCCTCGGGGCCGCGGAACCCTGCGCGCGCTGCTGCTGCCGCCGCTGCTGCAGTCCGGCATGGCCCGGGGAGCGGGGACCCGGGTGACATCGCAGCCCGCGGCCCGCGACGACCCTAACGCCGTGGGCGCGCTGCTTGGGGAGTTTCTACCCACCAAGTTCCGCGACTTCCTGCACCAGCTGCGCGCCAAATGCGCGGAGCCGGAGGAGCACCGTGAGGCCGTGGGAACAGCGGTGGGGTGGGGTAGGGAAGGGGCTAGGGTCCCCAGTGAGGACCGTCCCCAGCTCACTGGGCTTTCCTCCTCTTCCCCTTCTTTTCTTCCTCCTACTCTCCCCACACAGTCCCCGCAGCACCCTCATCGCCACAGTATCCCAAGGGTGCTTCAGAGCACTGCGTAGGTTTTCGTCGTCCCAGCTGCTCATTCCTCCCATACCTGCGGTAAGTAGAGAGATGTCTTCTTGGCAAAGGAGGGGTTACCCAGGTTGCTACAGAGTGGGGCCCTGCTCCCATCAGCTGTGACCTCTTTGCCTTCAAGGGACCAGTCGTTGCACTCAGAGGACAGTTTTAGAGAGAATACCCTGGGGCCTCCAAGAGGTGAATTTATCACAGCCAGAAAGGCCAACCCGTGAGTAGTAGTAGCTGTGGGTACTCACCGTGCTATCCCTTTGTGGAGCTGACTCTCTCCTTCCACCTTCCTGAGTTTGGGGAGAGGAACGGAGGTTGCTAGGCTTACCTGTCAATCACCTTTACCCATTGAACCATCTCATCTCCCCGACCCAGTGGGAGCAGTAAGGCACTCTTTTGCTCCCTCACTTCCGGTCACTCACTAATGGGTTTGACAACATGTATCCATCAATCCACTCATCCATCCTTGCATGCACCTTAGGCCGTGAACTATACGCTAGTGTGAATATCTCAGATATCTGTCAGGGCATCTATTGGCCATGAACCTGTAACTGCCCCCAGACAGCCAGTCTTCTATCTGTTCACCAATTCCACCTGGCTAGAGCTGCCCAATAATAGCCTTTCATTCACTTATAAGCCCAGGACGCCAATCACCTCTCCCTGAGTAATAAAACTACCCACGAGTTTGCACAACCGTCTGTCTAACCATCCAGTTACCCACCCTGAGAGTCAGCTCTTCAGCTCATATCCTGTCATAAATCCAGCCATTGTCACATCCTTCTCTCATTTCCCATTTACGAAGTCTTACTATGTATCAAACACTAGCGGAAAGACAAAGAGAAATAAACGCAAGCAAGAAAGATCCTGGGGCAGTAAGATGCTGACCTGGACCTGGACGGTAGAGAGCTCTTCATGGAGAGGGGGAAAGAAACAGGTTTAAACAGGCTAGAGCAAGGGTGAGAGCGCTGCCTGGGAGTTTAAAGATCGGAGAGCTGGGTGTGGTGCTGTGCCTTCTTTAAAAAACAGTTATGTATTTTTTAGGTCTGAGTGCTCTGCCAGCATGTATGCCCACAGGCCAGAAGAGGGCACCAGGTCTCATTACAGACGGTTGTGAGCCACCATGTGGTTGCTGGGAATTGATCTCAGGTCCTCTGGAAGAGCAGTCAGTGAGCCATCTCTCCAGCCCCAGTGGTACACGTTTTTAGTCTCAGTATTCTGGAAGCAGAGTGAGTTGGAGGCCAGCCTGGTCTATGTAGTGAATTGCAGGACAGCCAGGACTTGGCAGTGAAACTGTCTCAAGAAATTAATTAAGTTAGGGAAGGAAGGACAGATGGACCAGAGAGCATGCATACACAGCAGGCATTCTACTGCCGTTCCATCTGTACCCATGGCAGACAATATTAAGGGATCACTGCACTGAGGCTCTGTGAGCCTCAGACCCCTTCCTGACACAGTTCTCCAGGATCCAAGTAGAGACTAGGAAGGTGGAGAGATGCTTCCTCGGCCATTAAGAGAACCGGCTGTTCTTTCAGAACACCTGGGCTCAATTCCCAGCACCCACATGGCAGCTCACAACTATCTCCAGAGTGTCCAACACATTCCACAGACGCACATGCAGGAAGAGCACTAATGCACATAAAGTGATCACAAACAAACACAGACTACAGTGGGACACTGTTTGTATGCAGCGGTCCCTCACGGCCAATACCTTGCTCCAGTGATCTTCCCTGGGCAGGGATGTTAGCATCTCACTCACTTAGCTAGGAGACGGCTAAGCCTGGCGCTGTGGCCAGGACAGAGATGACATTTGTCTGCACACAATCGCAGCCTAGCTGAGCCCCAACACCTATAGCCAAGTTCTACCCTAGTCACCCCAGCTGCATGGCTCTCTGTTGGACGGACGAGAAACACATCCTTTGCGTCCACAAAAAGATGGCACAGGAGGAGCGGGTGCGAATGTGTAAATGAATGTACCCATGGTGAAGGTGCAAGGGGTCATTCTGAGTGCCCGAGCACCTGGGCTCCGCAGCCCAGCCCCCGAGGGAGAAAGGAACAGACCTAACCTCTCGATCTATTACATACAAATAGAACACACCCTTCACGGAGCACAGCCCCATGACAGGTCCTGTCTATGTGTCCCCCACATGGGCTATTCCACTCTCCCGGCTCCTGTGATGGCGGAATGATCCCGCCTATAACACAGCACATGACCGGAAGGAGAAAAACTGAGAAGTAGAGCCTTGAGGACAGGGTGCCCCCCTCATACGGCCTCAGTGGCATCACTGAGACCGACAACTCTTGTAACAGCTCAAAGCTAGAGATGTTTTCTCTGTGGCATACCCTCAGCGGGAGGTTCTTGCAGCCCACCCCACCTCTCCACGCCAGTCCCGAGGAAGGGGTGGGGCATCATGATTTCCTTATTTGTTGACACGTGGTCTTACATGGGGGGCCTCACACTGTGTAGCTGAGGATGACCTTGAACACCTGATCCTCCTGCCTCTACCCCCCCAAGTGTCCCACAGGCCACTGTGCCTGACTTGATGGCCTCCATTTCATGAATGAGAAGACGGGTCGCAGTGCCATCAGGACCTCTTGGCTCCTGAGTGCACAGTCCTGCCCTCTGGCATGACGTTTGAGTGACAGCTATGGGCTAGACATCTCTGTGCTTCAGTTTCCTCGCCTATAATTGGGAGTAGTGACAGGGATTCCTGGACACTGTGCAGGTTTGATCGGATAGAGCATGTCACACGATGACCAGAACAAGCCTTGGAAAAGGCCTGCTGACGTGATTAGCGTGACCCAGCCACCAAGCAAGAGCAGATCTTTCAAAGATTTCTATTTTATTTATGGGGGATGTGGTGTGCCCATGAGCCGTGGTTGCCTGCAGAGTCCAGAAGAGGGCCTCAGGTACGCCTAGAGTTGAAGTCACTGGCAGTTTTGAGCCAACAATACGGGAGCTAGAACCAAATTAAGGTCCTCTTAACCACTGGGCCATCTCTCCAGCCCTGTCCAAGATCTTCCTGGGAGCCCTCGTTCCCCTGCCCCCACCTCCCTCAGCAGACCCCACAGCACACAGGTCCCCAAAGTGAAGAGTCTACTCATTCACAGCCCCTCTGGAGAAGGCTCGAGGCCTCGCCGGCGCTACTGTCCTTTCCGGGTGAGATTTGCCGACGAGACCCTGCAGGATACAGCACTCCGCTACTGGGAACGCAACCGTGCAGGTGAGCAGAGAGCTGCTTCTAGAGCCGAGATTCCAGGACACTCCTGCCAGGAGTGCAGGGGTCAAAGGTGTGGCTCTGGATCCTCAAAGAGCCTGGTAGGACGTTGACTCCAGAGAGGAAGTACCCATACAGGCCTTTTCAGAAGACGCCAAGGAGATCTTCAAGGACAATGTAGGGGTCCTGAGAGCCAACAGAGAGGAGTGGCATCAGACAGGTGCTGTGCAGGAGTAGCTGCTGGAAATAATGGCAGCCCAGGCCTGGCTGTCATTAGAGAGCCCGTCCTTGCTGCCGCCCCCACTTGTTCAGGTTCCCATCCCCTCAGCAGTTTCTGGAAGCATCTTCCTCACAAATTTTTGAAAGTAGACCCCCAGGGTCAGGCTGGCCAGATGTCTAGAAAGCCCGAGCACAGGGAGTCTGTTCCCTTGAGAACTGCTACAGGGTCCACCAGAGAAACCTAGCACCCTGCAGAAGGGGATCTCGCTCCCGGGATGGACACAGTGGACGCTCGTGATTTCCCTGACATTTCTGACTGAGCGTGGAGAGGCAGGCAGGATAACGAGGAAGACAGGAGGAAACCATCGCCACCCACCCCCCTTTCTTGGTACTTGGGACTTGGTGGCCCCCAGGACCCTCCCCTTAACACTCACAAGAATCAGAGAAGCCCAACTTCTGGCTATTTCTATTTTGTGCATATGTGTGTATGAGAAAAATAGAATTTCAGCTAATAGATTTAAGAGCTCCTGTGCCTAGGACTAACAATATTGATTTACAGAGTCTCACGTAGCCTAGGCTGTCCCACTACATAGTCATGGACGACCTTGAAATACTGATCCTCCTGCCTCCACCTCCCAGCTGCTAGGATTACAGGTGTGTGTCACTATGCCTCACCCCCAGCTTTCTGGTTATTTGATTGATGAGAAAATTGAGGCAAGAGGTGTTTGTGTAAGAACAATGTAAGCCTAGAATAGAGGTCAGAATGTTCCAGAAATCCAAGGACAGGCTAAGCACTGTGGCCATATCCCATGGCACCAGGACTAGCCCCTGTTTCCTGAGACCTTCCTGTCTGAGACAGCCCCTGGGAATGGCGGGTTCTAGGAAGAGAAACCCCTCCCTCTATCCCTTGCAGAATCTTGGCATTCTCTCTGGAACTTCTGTGGTGGGGTGCCTGACCCTCCTACTTGAGAAAAAAGGGGCGATTGGAGGTTGGAGCAGGAGTAGGGGCAGGGCAGGGCACAGCTTGGTGGCAACGACAGCCACAGTCACGGGAGGTAGTTTTTAAACCCAGGACTTCTCTGGAGGCAGCCAGAAGGCACTGGGGAGCCTGTGGTTGCCATGGAGACGGGGTTCCGTCTAGCCTTGCCAACCAGAGGGAGGAGAGAGGGTGGGGGCGTCAGTGTGCCCCTCCCCCAGGGAGGGGTCAGGGAACTCACTCCGCTCCTCTCTCTCCTAGTCCGGCAGAACATCTTTCCATGTGAGCAGACGACTTTGCCTGCAGTGTCTGTGTCAAAGCGGGTGCTTGGGAGTGTTGGGAGATGGCTGGACAGTCTGCCCAGAGCCCTGCGTCCCAGGGTCCAAGACAGTATGGCCGGCTCCGCATACTGGAACTGCCCCCGAGTGTGAGGCTCTGGGTGGAGGAAGCACAAGGGTTGTGGTCCCTCCAGGTATAAGCTATCAATGGGTCTGGGACTTGAGGTCACAAAACCATAGGCTCCTGTCTCCCACCAGGTCAGCTCAGGAACCACAGCTCTACCTTTCTGAAGATGCCACCATGAGCAGCCGGCTACCCTTCATCTCCAGGGCCACCACCCCAAGGCCAAGGGGAGGCCTCAGGACCTTCCTGGACACCCCTAACACTGTGGAGCAGGTGGGGCAAATTGCCCCGTCCCTGGAGCCAGACGCTGGTGGGCAGCCCGGGCAGCTGGCCACTAGAAGCAGCAGTCCCGAGTGACTCTGTAGGGAACCCTCTCTGTTGAGTCACGGTGGGGCTTACTGCTTGGTCTGTGGCTCAGCCTCCCTCAGTGTGGAGCCCTGAAGGCAAGGGTGAGGAGGTACCTGAGCCAGGCTGTCAGCTGCCTTGCTGCTAGTGAGTGGGTGGGCGGCCTAGGCCAGCTGCGGAACCACCTGGGCCGGGGGAGGGGGCAGGGGGGCACGGACCTGTCTCCTTCCACCTGGGCCTTGGGGGGGGGGACGTGTCTCCTCCCTGAGGTCCCCTTGGCAGTGCCCAGCTGGGCCTCCTTCTCACTTCTAGGAGTCCTTTCTGCCCAGTTTGGTGCTGCAATCCATCCTGAAGCGAGGCCGCCCTAAGGGCTACCGGCTCCTCCTGCCATCCACAAACCGGCAGCAGGCTCAGAGGTGACCGCCTGCTGGAGCCCTAACCCAGGGGCATACCCAGGCCAGGCAATGAGAAGAGCGCTTCCTCGCCCCACAAATAAACACACTTCCCAGGCGGCTGAGATGGATCACTAGGTCTCCCAAAACAAGCCACTCTGGGTGCTTGATTTGGGACCACTTGGGGCTCGTGGGGGGGGGGGGCGGGATTAGGGTGGAATCACAGCTGGGTTGAAACTGGTGCGGGCAGGGGATTGGAGGTGGAGAGACGGGGCATCCCAGGGTCTTGTTTTCCTGGGTGGTGATTAACTCTCTACACAACCTCAAACCTAGGTCAGTCCACGTCTGAAGCAGACCCCCAGCCGTTATCTTAGCCCGGGGCAGTGGATAAACAACTCCTTCAGTGCCAGAGGCTTCTCTGCCCACCGACTTGTAGAGGGTGAGGGTATCCAGACCCCAGCCCAGGAAAAAGAGCCCTGTGTGTGGGTAAACCTTAGCCCTCTCAGCCTGCTGCAGTGTTCAAATCCACATGGGGAAGTGGCCCAAGGCAAGATGGCAGGCACCTTCTAGAGGTTATCTGCTGTACGAACCTAGCCACCTCCATACACGTGGGCACCCTACTACATCATGTTCCCAATTTCCTGGAGGAAATTTGGGAGCCTCCCTCCCTTTGGAGTTTCCGCCTTGAGCTCTGGCCAGGTCTTTATCGCCACCTGCTGGTCAGTGAAGAAAGAGCTCGGACACCCCGCGGAGCGCGATCTAACCCTGAAACAGGATGCTAAAGCGGCCTTTGTGCTGTACTGGGCTGGTCATCTTGGGGATCAGGTGGGCTGGGGATGGTGAAGGGATGAAGAAAGGTAGATCTGGACCTGGCTTGCGATGCGATGCGGCAGCGTCCCCAGCGCTGGGCTGGAGCTTGGCTTGGTTCTTTTTCTGGGCTTTCGGGCTGCAATCCAGGACGAATGCTCCCGGTTTCCCCGAAACGCTGCGCGCCGCGAGTGCCCTCTCTGCCTCGGTTTCCCCGGCCACCTGCAGTGCCAAACTGCGCCGCGCGGGGGCAGTGTTGGCCTGGCTTTGCGCCGTGAAACTTCAGTTCTCGCCCGGGATCGGAAACTTTCCCTTGCGCGGCGTTCACTGTGGAACCCTGAATCCTGGGTTCCCCGTGCCCGACCGTGGGGAACCTGGCTTCCAACCTGCGACCCAGGACGTGACCACCTTGGAGAATCTGGGAACTCATCGAAAAGACCCACGCAGGGAGAGGGACTTGGACGCTGAAGCAGGACATAACAGAGAAGCACACAGCACGGGCGCGCGCATGTGTACACACACACACACACACACAAAACATACGGTACAGAGACCCCACACACAGGGAAGATGCCTCGGGCATAGAAACAGTACACGGGGAGGCACACATACCAGAGACCCCCCACACAGAGAAGAACACATACACCACCAAACGCAGGAAGAGCACCACAGACACACAGCAATAGAGACTCCCCCCACACAGAACCGTACCACAAATATTCACCACAGATGCAGACAAGGTAAACAACACACAGCAAACATTATACACACACCACATACAGACCCCATACATGGAGAAGCATACCACACACGACTACACATACCACATAGCTACTCCACATAGATGGAGACACCCCACAGATACACAGGGTCATGGAAAGGCACACATATAACACATCATACACATGGAGAAACAGATACAAAGGCATCCCCACACACACGGATAGCCCTGAGAGGCACACCACACACAGAGAGCTCATGGACACATATGACCATACACATGGCACACAGACACCACACCCACCCACATGGAGAAGACAGGCACGCACACATCAGAGATAGCACATGCAGAGCGCGTGCCACAGAATCACAGATAAGCACTTAAGAACATGTGTTACATACTGAAGCCTGCACTGTGGGCTGCTCTGCAGTCCCTGGGTCTCGCAGGCCTCTAAAGGTGTCTGCATGACAGCTGTGGCATGACAGTTCATGTGGAGCCTGAACCCAGGTGACCAAGAGGAGCCTGGAAGTGCTGAGGCAGGGGAAAGACTGTTCAGACGACTAGGTCCTAGGTCTTTCCTTGCTCCTGGGAGTGATTCCTTTCTCCTTCCCAGAGTCCTCCTGGGGCTTTGTTTTGTTTGGTGTCTCTGTGCTGTGTGCTCGGTGGCCTGTTTGCCCACTTCCTGGACCTGAGAAGCCTCCCCAGCTCTCCATCCCGCCCCAGACCTCCACAGGCCATGTCTTCCAAGCCAAGCAAGACGGGAGCTGGGCCTGTTGGGGTGGCAGATAGTGTCCCCTAAACAGGTTGGGACAGGAAACACTGCTCCTTTCTCTGGAATGTCCCTTGCCCTTGTGAGCCTCTGCACCCTCAGAAGGTGGCTCCTCAGGCCTAGAAGTGAGGGGTGTTGCTTATGGTGTGGGGAGCTGCGTCCAGCTCCCCTCAGTGTGGGGCTGCAGAGATGACTCGGTGGTTAAGAGTACTTGCTGCTCTTACAGAGGACCTGGGTTCACAGCACCCACATCTGGCTCTTCACAACTGCTGTAGTTTCAACTCCTGTTCTTGACTCAGCAGTCACTTCACTCACGTTCACACGCACACACACTCATGAACACACACACATACACAATTAAATTTTTTTTCAAAGACAGAGTCACACTATACAGATCTGGCTGAGCTGTTAACTCTGTAGACCAGGCCGGTCTTGAACTCACAGAAACCCACCTGCCTCTCCCTCCCAAGTGCTGGGATTAAAAGTGTGTGCCACTATGCCTGGTTTTAAAAGTAAAATCTTGAGAGGGAATGAAACCGGGAAGTAGTGGTACACACCTTCAATCTCTGCACTCAGGAGGCAGAGGCAGGTGGATCTCTTAAGTTTCAGGACAGCCAGAGATGTTACACAGAGAAACCCTGTCTTGAACCTTCTCCCCCGTGCCCCCCCCCAAAAAAAATCTGTACCTTCAAAAGAGAAAAGCTTCCTCTATGTGGCTGGAGAGATGGCTCAGCAGTTAAGAGCACTAGCTGTTCTTCCAGAGGACCTGGGTTCAATTCCCAGCATCCCACATGGCAGCTCACACTGTCTGCAACTCCTGTTCCAGGAGTATCCAACACCCTCACGCAGACATACGTGCAGGCAAGATACCAACACACATAAAATACAAATAAGTTATTTTTTTTTTTAAAAAGAAAGGGAGTGGGAGAGAGCTGCATATTGTGGCAGATGGCCTTAATCCCAGCATTTGGGAGGTAGAGGCTGGTGAATCTTGGAGTTCAAGGCCAGCCTGGTGGTCTACATAGTTCCAGGTAACCCTGAGCACCCCAAAACCAGAGAAATAAAGACAGAGACTGACTCACAGTTTCCCGAAGTCGGCCAGGCCTCAGCTATACATGCTTTCTCCAGAAGGCATGCTCAGGAGAGCTCTTCCCTGGGAAACTGAGGCCCAGAGAAGTCAGATCACTCTTGGGGTCACAGTTATGCAGTGTTGCTCCCACTGGAGGTTCCACTGCATGATGGGGTGGGGTAGCCCTCTGTATGTCTCCCCCTGTCCACTCCCGCCATGAGGAGGGAGGCCCTAAAGACAAGGAGGAGACTTGGCAGATTGGACTTCAAGAAGGCGTGACTGTGGAACCCCTGATAAGCTGAACCGCAGGTCTCCAGAGCTGGAAAGTTCCATGGAGGTCAGTGGCAAGTCCAGACGGGCCTAGGGGAGAGGGTTCCCCAGTGAAGCCAGGCCTGCTGGTGCTCCAGGGATACCAGCTGCCCTTCTGCCATAGTTCCAAGAGGACTAAGATCTTGTGTCCCCAAAGCTCTCATGGAGACCTTGATGGGCTATGCTGGCACTGTGAATGGGCTGGGAGCTGATAAGGTTGTAAGCCAGTCCCCCGACCGAGTGTCCCTTGGGGGAGGCCACTGGGCCCTGTTGGCGGTGGAAGCTGAGCAATCCTGGGCCAGAGAGATGGCTCAGCAGTTAAAAAACCCCAGCCGTTTTTGTAGAGGACCAGCATTAGGTTCCCAGCACCCACATGGCTGCTCACAACTGCCTGTGACTCCAGTTCCAGGCCTTCATGGGCATCAGCCTTGCACATGGTGTACACGCGTGCAGGCAAACACCTGTACACTTACAGATGAGCAGGGGGAGGGGCTGTCTATAAGCCAGCAGTGGCTGCCATGGAGCCTGGCTAGGCTTAATGGCTCATGAACGTGAACTTTGACCTCCAGACACCACTGAATTTCTGCCTCCTCAAGTCTGTGGAACTCTGTTACAGCTCTCTCTCTCCCATTTTTTTTTGTTTGTTTGTTTTGTTTTGTTTTGTTTTTTTTCAAGACAGGGTTTCTCAGTAGCTTTGGAGCCTGACCTGGAACTCTATCCATAGACTAGGCTGGCCTTGAACTCAGAGCTCCGCATTAAAGGCGTGGCCACCACTGCCCAGCAGCAGTTTGTCTCTGGATGGACTGACTAAGCACCCAGTATAGGTCATACAGCTGCTGCCCCACCCCAAGCTCATGGTGGGCACCGGGTTGGCCAACACTGCCTTCAGGAACCTGTGGTCCAGTGTGGAGGTTCTGGGCACCCTGTAGGGATGGGGACTTGACAAGCTGGTATGAGAACAAGGGCTGACAGAGGGGAGGGGCTCACTACATAGCCCAGGCTCGCCCAGAACTTATGAAAGTCTTCCGGCCTCAGCAACTGTTATATTAGGATTACAGACATGAGACACACGGAACTTGTTTTCCTAAGTCATTTCTGGAACAGCCTATCATCCGTTTCCATAGCACCAGAACAATGGGGACTCAGCTGCTAAGAGGACCTGGGGTCTGCTTCTGAAGCAATAGCAGCAAGGAGTCCCAGGGACCAGAGGAGCACCTGTGTGTGAAGATCAAAGACTGTTGTCATCCACACCAGAGGCAAGCAACTGGCCTCTGCTCGAAGGAGTGAGACTTGGCTAAGTAGGCACCACTCTCGTCTGTAAGCAAACCAGAGAGGTTAGGTTACTGGAGGAGGCTCACACAGATGAGCATCAGAGAAGAGGCTTCAGTGAGAGCTGTCC